TCCTCCTTGACAAGCTTGTGCCACTTGTAGTAACCCACTTTGTCATGGTATTCTCCAAGGCACACCAGACATAGTGCTAGATGTTGTTGAAGGGATCCAGTGGATTGTTTGGGTCTAGGACTGCCTTCCAGTGCTTTGCAAACCAGTCCTGATCAAACTTTGCCTTGTGAGGACACTTCCCAAAGGACTTGCACCAGTACTCACTGGTGATTTTGAAGTTCCTCTTCCAGTAGGCCTGGAACCCACCACCTGGATGGTTGAAGTCAGTACTGAGTGAATATTTAATGCCCTCTTTGCTGAAGGGTGCAACAAAGAGGCACTTCATTTGCTGCTTGGCAGAGCTTGGATGGTACTGGGYGTCAGTACAAWTCTGAGCATCCTTGGAGAGATCCAGATTGTGGTAGTCAGCAAGGGGATCAGTTTGTGGATGGGCAGCAAGAGATTCAAAGAACTCAGCAACAAGCTTTGCCTTCTTCTCATGCTTGATAGTGTTGAAACAAAGAGCCTTCTTGATTGCAGAGGTATCAGTTCCCCAGGAAAAGCTGGTTCTGATCAAGGCTCTGGAGGATGGATGCAAGAGTGAACTCTGTTAGCAAAGGAGCAGGAATCCCTTCCTAACCATTGGCAGCAACAACATTGTGAACGACAGTGGGTGCAATAGGCAGTTGCAGTTCCTTAACTTCAATTCCAAGCTTCCTTAAACAATGATCTTCAAGAGGAATAGGACTAGTACTCCTAGTAGTAGCATGTCATGCAGTAGATTCAGTCATCTTCTCATTAGAAGCAATATCTTCCCCCCAGTCATTGTATTGTCTGGTGCTACTGCTGCTGTCAGCATCAAAGGATCARCTGGCACTGAAGGAGCAAGCAGCAACACAGGAGCAACCAGCATCAAAGGACGAGCAACCGGCATCAAAGGGTAACAAGCAACTGACAATGTAGAGGCAAATGACATCAAAGGACATACAATCAGGTATGTAGCAAATCCCTGTTGGAGAWTTGAGTGCTTGTTGCTTGCATTCTTTTTCTGTGTCACTTGGAGAAGAAGAAGAAGCTTTCTTTTTGTATGGATCCATTGTCACCAACTTCCTCTGTTGCTTTTTTTGCTGMTGAAGCAGCAGATCTGGACCTAGTCTGGGGCCCTGGATCTCCAGACAAAGAAGAAGAATGTGAGCAGCAGCTGGTTGACCATGGTGATGTTGTGGAGTATGCCTCAAACAACAATGGGCAGGAAGAAGAACAACAAGCAACAATATGGGTGAGGATCAACAAGGAATTCTGCTCGTTCGCCCCTCCTGTAAATTGACTGCTGGTGCAGCTGCTTACAAAGAAATCCTTGGGAAGCAAAGCAATAGGACACTTACKTTGAAAAGAAGCTGTTGGGCAAAGATCTACCATGGTCAGCAAAAGAACAATAAGACCAATTGTCAGAAGAGACAAAGAATCACAAAACAGTAGATTTTCGGAAATAATACTCGTACCAGATCTGAATGATGACCGTACGGTACCAAGTACGGTAGSTACCAAGTACAKTTTACCCTTACCGGTACCGATACTCTTACTCYTCCCTCTTGGGTGCATGTTTGCATTCTTTTCTGTCTACGGTGCCGTACGTTCAGTATTGTACCACAATGTATCTTCAGGGCACAACAGCCAAGCACRTCATACTTTGGAGGAAACGGTGTACGCGATACCGCTTGGTCTWACCTTACAAGCCCCGCAAAGTAGTTCCGTAACAATAGTCATAAAGGTTTGCTCCAAGCAGCAAAAGTAGTCCACGTCACTTTCCTGCAAAATTAGCTCGTTTCGGTGCGAATTTCAGCAATGGAAAGGGACGGCGACGCCAGGATGGACGAGGTTCTCGACGACGCGGACAGTGAACTGCCGTGGGATCGGTTGGAGGCCGCCGGGGAACCCGCAAACCCGATCCCGTTCCCCGATATCCAGCTCAAGCGCGGTCGGCGAGATAGCGTGTTGGTGTTCTGCCCAGAGAGAGACGATTTTGTCGAGGCCAAGAACGTTTTGTTYCAAGACTTTTCGAGGGAATACGGAGAAAGTACCGAGAAGGCGCTGAGCCGGGTTCGAGAGGCCTATTGGCCAATTCCATACAAAAAGTCAATASGTACCATCATGGGGCACGTTGAGATTTGCCATGTTGTGACCAGGTCCAAATCCGAAAGAGGAGACGACGACGATGATTCAGTAAGTGATTCCAGTTGCGACGACAGTAGCAAAAGTTACGACGACGACGACGAMGACGTGGTATTCCAACTGACCCCAARACTCGTGGCAGTCAAAGTGAATTACATGCGTCGGGTGGAACGCTACAGAGACAGACATGCTGAGAATCCCGTCCAAGAGATCTGCGCGATGCAGTTGATTGGAAACGGCAATGCCCACGTCATTGGAATTCTAGAAACACTCTTTGAAGGCAGCAGTATAACTGTGGTCATGCCCTACGCGGCATCCGGGGACCTGTTTGACTGGTTGCAGCGTGCCCAAGAACAGGGACAGGGAATGCCGGAGGCAGAAGCAAGATATTTGTTTCGCCAGGTCATGGATGGTTTGCAGTACCTTCATCAAAAGGGCATCTGCCATAGAGATCTAAGCCCCGAAAACATCATGTTGGACAATAACAATTCTATCATCATTGACATGGGTATGTCCATCCGTGTCCCGTACACCGATCGCAATGATCCTTCCGCAGTTACAGATATTGTCAACGGAACAGAAAAGCGACTGATTAAACCGCAGGGAGCCTGTGGAAAATTATCGTACATGAGTCCCGAGATTTATAGGAATCGCAATCCCTTTGATGGGGGTGCCGTCGACATCTGGACGGCAGGTACAATATTGTTCTGCATGGTGACGGGAAACAGATCCTATGAGAGGCCATGCTCTAATGATGCACAATTTTATTGGATGTCTAGGAACTTGGGTATGCTCCTCGAGAATTGGAACATTAATTTGTCCGTTGAATGCGTTGATCTTTTGAAAGGAATGCTGACAATCGACCCAAGGCATCGCTTTACGATGGAGCAGGTTTTAAACCATCCATGGTTTCAAGGTGAGGATATAGCWCCGAATATCAGCTTCGGTCACCGATAGAATAAATGCTTCATTTGCTTTGCTTGGTCTGCAAGCAACGGCGATGCACGTTACATCCAAACGGTACCTTTGGCGGTCTTGGGCGAAGAACCTTAAAACATCCTCAAGGAACGACTATGGGGGGGCATTTTTGATTTCCACTGTTATTCACAAAGTATCGTTTACAATAATAAAGTTTGTTGATGTACATTATCTTGCACTTCTCTTGATGTTTCTATCGCACAATGGAGTATCTCGGCTCGAGTAACTTTTACTGTAGCAACACTGCATTCACCGAAGTTATCTTTCTTGTCCATACCATGAATACCAGTAGACTTGCTTTGCTACAAGAAAGAAAAGGCAAAGGTGTCAATCTTCACTTAGTAAATCAAGAACAGAAAAATAATGGCACACTACTACTACGTGCGCAACAAAAACAAGAAGAACGAGAACATACTAGTACGTCAMGACAGTAGTAGTAATTGTTGTACTACTACTAGTACTACTAGTAGTACTAGTAGTAGTAGAATTGTTGTTGCGGCTGATGTTACTACTACTACTAGATATTAATGCTACTACTAGTACTAGTAGTAGCCTAGAATGAAAATAGGAATGGCGATTGTGAGGGCAAGATAGTAAAATAGGAAGAACAGGAAGGCTTCTTTCTTGTGCTTCTTCATCATTTACTACGTGGTATTTGTACTGCCTTCCATTAAAAACTAAAACGAACACTAGTAATAGTAATAGCAGAAGTTGTACTGGCTTGGACCGGTACAGAAGTACAAGGTACTGTACTTCGTAATCGATACCGCAATTTGGTAGAAGTCTTACGAGGTCCTACAATTGGTAGTGTACAAATGCGAGTACAATACTAGCGACGAGCGACAACAGATTGAGTTTTTAGGTGAGACCCGAAAGTTTTGTGATCGCATTTTCCGTTTCCAAATTTCATCTCATTCGAAATTGGATTGCAGATGGCAGACAAGAACGTAGACAATACTTCGAACACCGCTGATCACGCACAAAAGCAAACCAAATTCGGTATCGACATTCCACTTTTTCCCTATCAGGTTTTACAACTTCCAATRATGATACTCCGGGATTCTCGACGATTTTCGTCGACTTTATTGTCCCTGTGTTGCTGTCTGTCTGCTGTTTTTTGGGTTTGTCCAAACCAAAGGCGAGGAAGTCTTCTCCTCGTGGATTCTGCCGTAACGGATGGAAGGCATAGCTACAGCCTGACTACGTTTGATCCGMATGGAAAGTTGGGACAAGTTGAGAGAGCGATGATGGCTGCATCTATGGGGACTCCCATTGTCGGAGTCATCAAAGGAAACGATATCATACTCGCATCGCCGCAGATTTTGCCGTCTCCCCTAATGAATGACGACGGTACCTCTCGGTTTGCTGTCGCGTCACCCCAAATCATTCTTGGACAMTCGGGAATCGCAAGCGACGGGAGAGTGGTGGTAGAAAGTGCACAACGTTTGGCCATTGAGCATTCTTACACCTACGACGAACCTATTCCAATCGGCCTGTTCCTGGAGGAACTCTCTCTGTTGTTTCAGGCATATACCATGAAACCAGGCGCCCGTCCCTTCGGCTGCACCCTTCTCGTAGGATATTTGCCGCCACCACGAGTCCGTTCCGCAACACAAAACACTGATAAGCCTCGACTGTTCAAAATAGATTGTTCCGGAGCCGTAGTTGAGCTTGATACGATAGCTGTCATCAATGGTAAATTCAAGGGAGATATCAACAGCAGGCTACTAGATTTTTCGAAGCTAGACTATGGCAAAGAATCTATCGGCAACAGCAACGACCACTTGGAGAAAGACAGAGAACTCATATCCCGAATACTTCAAGAAGGGTTGCAGCATGCTGTTACCAGTCGTAATAAACAAACTCAGACGAAATCGTCGCGCAGTGGAAAAAGCAGTTCTAGAAACACTGAAGATGTGATTAAGTTACCCCTGCGAATCATAAGCGCCTCTTTCGATCGTGTAAACGGTTTCGAAGTCGAGCGACGAATGGTAGGGAATGGGTCAGATCCAACGATTCGACAATGAAAGTAAGCCTAATGCAGCCCGAGTGAAAGTCACGATTCTTTGCAACCAGCAATTATTCTGATAACACAAAATAGTTTTTCGTGAGGAGATAGGGCCCCATATGYTAAAAAGTCCTTATTYAATGTTCACGATCTATTCTAAGCTTCTAAAACGAGTTTTTCTTTCGGTGTTGGAGGCGGATTATTGGTGAAGTAGGGATGATCAAGAGCTTGCCGAGCGGAAAATCTCATATTTGGATCAAGCGTAAGGAGAGACCTCAGCAAGGATATAGCATCCTTTGGAGCTGCTGTAAATATTTCGTCAAAGGGAATAGCAGGAACATCGTCCCATATTAATCCTCTTGCACATAATGGTAGCGTGTTATGGTCAGGCCAATTTACGTCGGTGGGAGTCCCAAAGACGGTGAAGATGGTGTCCAGTTGCGAAATGTCCGAATTTTTTCCTTGCAAAAAGGGCCGTCGCAAGAGCAATTCTGCAAAGATACACCCAACACTCCAAATGTCAGCCGCCGAAGAATATTCGTAAGATCCTAAGAGCAATTCCGGGGGTTTGTACCACAGAGTGATGGCCTGTGGAGAGAGCCGTGTTTTGGGTGTTCCGTACATTCGAGCGAGACCGAAATCACCCAATTTCATTGTTCCGTCCTTAATAAAAAGCCTTTGATTATTTTTCGAAAGAAGGTACCGATAGAGAAATTGGAATAAGAATAACGCAATAAACAAAGAGATCCCTAGTAGCATCACCTACTCTCAAGTTTAAGAAATCAATATCAATAACGACACGTGCAATATGATATTTGCATCAATCAACGTACATATTGTCGGGTTTTAAATCACGATGCAGAATCCAGCGATCGTGACAAGCTGATATAGCATTCAACAAAGAGAATAGGTGCTGTTTGATGTCTGCCAGTGATATTGATATTTGCTTGTTGTTCAAGATTTTTTCGAGATCAGTTTCTGCTAATTCGTAGACCAAACAGACGGCCATATCAGGGGTCGAAAACACATCAACCAAYTCAATGATGTTGGGATGTTTGAACTCCCGCAAGAGTTTGATTTCCCGAATGGCGGTGAAATTGACGCCTTCCTCGGGCCGTTCGCTCTTGATTTTTTTGATAGCAACAACTCGGCCTGTTCCGTTCTGTTCTGCTTTGTGAACCACACCCCATGTTCCGGATCCAAGCGCACCTTGTACCCTATAATTTTCCATTGCAGCAATTCTGGTGAAATAAGATAAATATGCGAGTGCTTGGTGATARTGGTTGACTCTTAAATCCGTACTGATATTCTGACGTCCTCGATGCCCATTGTCCCCACCGTGAATACTATTCGTGATCTTCTAYGTTGTTGTTTTTTAACTTGTGGGTTTCAATTTTTCGATTTTCGATCAATACGATTCAACTCCATTCATGAATTTGACCGACGTTGTTGTTTTCCGGGGTTTCGAAAAAATGTTCGATGGGGTCTAATTTTTGGGTTTCAATTTTTCGATTTTTGATCAATACGATTCAACTCCATTCATGAGTTAACAGGACTAGTTTCGATTTTTTCTCGCGATCCTCTCTTTTGAAGAACTTCAAGAAGAAACCATTGTTGATTGAATGTTGTTCCGTCCTTCGAATGATGAAGGTATCGTACGGTATCGTACGTCTTCGTCAAGGATCAAGGGCGTGATACCCGACGTTCCCATTTCTATCTCGATACCAAAAATTAGTCAAAATGAAGTCTGCTATTTTCGCCTCTCTGGTTGTCGGCACTGCCGCCTTTGCCCCTGCCCAACAAGCATCGGTATCGACTTCTCTTGCTGCCTCCAGCACTGGACCCAACACGGCGTTCGCTAATGAACCTGGTGTCGTTGCTCCTTTGGGCCTTTTCGATCCCTTCAGCGTCCTCGATGATGCCGACCAAGAGCGATTTGACCACCTCCGAGCCGTCGAGATCAAGCACGGCCGTGTTTCAATGTTGGCTGTTGTCGGATACCTAGTCACATACGGTAGGTTTATGRTTGTTTCGCTTTCGGTGCAAGGTATTACCACACGCTCTATCGTAGCAGTGCTAAGCCGTTTTTTTATCAAATTCGTCACGTTCTCGCACTTTACTCACTTTGGATTTCCGAAACCGTCACATTTGAATGGAAACAGCCGGAATTCGTCTTCCCGGCCTTGAGGATGTTCCTACGGGTTTCGCTGCATGGAGCGCCCTCCCCGATGAGGTTGTTGGACAGATGGGAATGAGCTGGATTGTTATGGAAATGGCCAACAGAGATCACACCGGAAATGCCGAAACCCCCGGTGACTTCCGAAACGGTCTTTTGGATTTCGGATGGGATGATCAAACCGACGAATGGAAGAAGAAGAAGCAAACAATTGAACTTCAAAATGGACGAGCCGCCCAGATGGGAATTCTTGGAATTATGGTTCACGAAAGCATGGGAAACCTTCAAGAAATCCTTCCTCACTACTAAGGAAAGAAGTATCGCATACTTTTTCCACACCCTACTCACGACATCAAACAAGAGTCCTGTAACAAGTAGACCTATTTGAAATAGACATTTTTTTCCATGAAGACGTACTGATTCAAGAAACTTACTTGACATGTTGTAGATAGCGTGCAAACTTTCGACACCAATACTTGCAGGGCATCAACCAATTGTTTAGTACATCAAAGTTCGTGCATTTCTTCTAAATGATGTTGAAAATAATGGAGATTCTCTGTAGTAGCTTCTCAGCATTAGCTGATTGAAGTGGTTTCATTAACATAACTTCATGTCAAGAATGCCAAAAAATTCTTTCTTTCTTAGGAAAGCACTGTACTTGTCCTCTGTTAATTCCATCATGCTACTACATTACTAGTACAGTACAAATAAAGAATGAAAACATGATATCATGATGTGAGGTGGCAGTCTAACAAGATTTGTTATCAAGGCTTTTCCTTTCCAACTACAAATATCATGCTGACAGCATTTGAAGCAAGATCTTATCACTACTAATGCTGTGAAGGACACCAGCCTCACAAATACTTCACTCTTAGTAGTAGCAACCAAAAGAGCAGAGCCTACTGTTTGAGGAAGGGCTAGGTATATCTTGTTGGATTGGGTTGCATAGTACTACTAAGACTGTTGTGTGGGTTCATGCAAAAAAAATACAATAAGAGATACACAGTACAAAGTCTGTAGAATCYTACAGGTGTGGTGCTCATGCCAATTTCCATACACCAGAATAAGAAATACAAGTCCATCCAACAAGAGGGCTTTGAACTACTAAAGAAAATTGAACTCAGGAAAAGTTCAAGTAAAACAYAAGAGGGCTTACTGCTACCTTGCAGTGCTATAACTTATCTCACCAAAAAAGCAAGTCCTCTTGTTACTGCTGCCTTGTTACAGTACAAATAGAAGGACACTAGTATAGGATTAAGAATGCAATACTGCTGGTTACTACTAGTACTGCTYTAAAGAAACTATCCCTACTAAAGAAGGATCACCAGTTCCTCCCTCTGTACTACAAATTCAGTAGTAACCCTCTGTACTACAAATTCAGTACTAGTAAGAATGGCCTCACAGGGCCCTCCACTAGAAATTTTTTAAATCAGATAGTTCCCCATACACCCTGCAAAGAAAACAACAAGTGAGGAGGAGAAACAATGTCCAAAAGAGAGTTTTTCTCCTTGTTGGAATGGCAATCATTGTATTCTCATTGTTTCTTGTTCTTGTTACAGCAACAACAACAAGAAAGAGAAACTAAGAGAATATTGCCTCTAGTACTTGTTTCTCTTTGTTTCCCATTGTTTAAAGAAGGAGAAACACAGAGGATATTGCCTGGGCAATGTTCACATTGTTTCTCCTCTTTGTTTAAGCAAAAAAGTGAATAATGCAGGTATTACTACTAGTACTACTAGTACTAGTAGTACTACTAGTAGCATTAAAAGATGGGGGCAGCAATTCCCCCCATTCATGCATACAAAGACAATATTAGTACCTTTCCTTGTTTCTCTTTCTTGATTTGTTGATTTTTTTTTCAAAAAGAAACAAAGATAATATTGCCTGGGCAATACTCTTGCAACTCTCTTTGTTTCTCTTTGTTTAAACATGACAAAAACTATGGGAAACCCTGATCTTGGTTGGTGACAGTCTTCCTCAAAAACTAACGGAGGGCCCAGGAATTTAATATATAGTTTCTCGTGACCCCCCGCGCCCTCCTGTACCGGCAGTATTTACTCGTATGATGTGCAGAGCGATGTAAAACTACGGTAATACCGGTAGAACCGTACTCTCGATGGCGTGCTCCTGCATTTTGATGAACCTCCCGTCTCAATTGGCTTGTAAACTTGAAACTGCGACACACTATTACTTCTTCCTGTACTACGGCACAAGGCATCGTCGACAAAACGGAGCAATAACCATCGACTGTCCGAGCGTTTATACCTCAAAATAATGATATCTACTTTGAAAAGATTGATCCTGCTTGGATTCTTGAGCATTTGGTACGTAGAGGAACATTGCATCCCCCCAGCTGTCTTGGGTAGTTTCGTTCGTGATAAAATCCTCTGTCAATCTGTTCGTCGATGCCCACATCAATACMGTCGTTATCTCTCACCGCGATTGGTTTGGTCTTTTTTCGATCTGAATACAGTTCTGCGAAAGACGTCCCGACGAGAAACCTCGAAGGTCTACTCGAGTTTCCGAGCGGTGTTTCGAAGGTTTTCAATATCACAACTAAAATCACCCTGAACAACGGAGAGTACACTACGTACTCACGGAGGGATGGTTCCTTTGTGATCTACGACGTAGGTCCCGGAATCCATCAGCTGGACATCGASTCCAAAAAATTCCACTTCCCCCAGGTTAAGATCCAGCTGCTGGAGGAATCGATGGATACCCCAAAATGTCTCGAATACGCCTTCCCCGGAGCCCCAAAGAGAGCCCTGAAATATCCTTTGGTGATCAATCCAAAGGGCACCTATCAGTACTTTGAGCCCAAAAAAGGGTTCTCGATTTTTGGTTTGCTGAGAAATCCAATGGTGATTATGATGCTGTTTTCGGCCGGACTTATGGTGGCCATGCCGAAGATGATGGAAGGATTGGACCCGGAAGAAAAGGCAAGGATGAGAGAACAAATGAAAAACCAACAAGACCCATCGGCGATGCTTTCTCAAATGTGGGGGGAGATGACCAATGCTGGCGAGGAAGAAGCCCCGAGGTCGAAAAAGGAGCGAAGACGCGTGAAGCAAAACTAGAATGAATCTCGTGGACATGCCAAAATATTGCGCTTGAATAGATTTGCCGTGGTTATGATGTCTTTTCCAAGTGTAGAAACGAACACGTGTTCGGATTCTAGCTAGTACACTACATAGCAAAACGTGGCATCGCAATWCAAAATATTTTCGTAGTAGCAAAGTAGAAGGATCAATTCGAACGTAAGACTCGGTCGGAAGCAGCTTTGGACCGGACGCCGTTGCCAACCTACAAGCTGATCGGGTGAAATTCCAAGTGCTCGWATACTGCGACTAGAGGATTTCGAACAGAACTGAATTTTTCCAAAACCGGTGGCTAGCAATTTCTACACTGTTTCTTTATTCCATGACRAATTCGACGTGCTTGACGAAATCAATGTCCAGGAGGGCCATCTCCAGCCCCTGCCGAACCTTGTTCGCTCCGCGGAATTTGATCTTTACTGTTCCGATGGCATCGACCTCAAGAATATCTACAAGGCCGCCCATGGCAATGATGGCTGGTTTGATTCGGTTCACTTCCTTCTCGACAACCTGGTAGGTCAGTTCCTTTGGTTTTTCGTCTTCGTCTTCTACCTGGAGGACTTCACCGAGATTGGCAAAATTTTCCTTCAGGACCCGCTCGATGCCCATCTGCATGGTCACCGTGGAAGAAGGGCAGGATCCGCAGGCACCCTCGAGCTTCAGATACACGTTCTGTGTCTCTTCGTCCACCCTCTGGACCGAGACGTTGCCACCGTCGGAGATTAGGTAAGGTCGAATTTCGTCCAGGACCTTGTCCACGTTTTCCTGGTTGAAGGGCAAGGCATCCCCGTCTGTCGTAGTGTACACCGTCGGTTGATCAAATGGAGACACGACCGCGTCTTCTTCCTCCTTCACGGGTTCCTCGATTCCCCTTGCCGTCGCCATTTCTTCGCGAGAGGTCGACATGGCGCCCGCCATCATTTCGAAGTAATCGTCGTCGTCGTCGTCGTCAAAATCGTCGTCGTCGTCCAGCATGTCTTCGAGGTCCATGGCGGCCATGATGGGATCAAAGTTTGTCATTCCCTTCGCCTGCATCGCCTCCTTCCTCCAGTCGGAAGCAATCGATTCCATCGCACTCTCGTTCGGAATCAGAAAGGAAAGGGCGCGGACGTGCGCTACCCGGTCGCTSCCGTGTTCGTCCAGGTGGCCCTTCAGGGTTTCCCCCAGGTCGCGGGTGATGCCAACGTGCTGGCAGGCCTCCCAGCCCTCGGTCCCCCCCGCCTTTTTGTACGCGGGGCCCAGGACGGCGTACGCAGCAGCCAGCTGGTGGCCCCTCAGTCCCGCCGACATGATCTTGATGGGCAGGATTCGCTTTCCGTTCAGCACCGGAGCAGGGGGTTTGTTGRCCGTGTCGTCTCCGTTGTCGGTGGCGGACGGCGTCGAGGCAAAGACCGCGGAGGGGGACGCCGCCCGGCACAGGGGATTCGACGGGAGGGACGGATGGGMGCTGAATCCCTCAACCGATCCATGCGTGCAGAGGGTGCCGAGAACGGAAATCCCTGCCAGAAACAAACAATTCATGTTGCGCCGCTGAATCATAGTGCGGATTGGAAAGGAAAGTGGCCGAAAGAAGTGCAGGTGAT